TACAAGGAGCCCGGAACAGAACATCTGAACCAGGGGTTGTCTCTGAAAACACACGCCCGCCAGAACCCAGGCCATTTGCAGGAGCCCCGGACACCGGGTCCCACCCTTTGGCGATCTCCACCCCTGATTCCGAGCGAGGGCTCAGCTGGACCCAATGTGTCCCTCCCCAGGCCTTAGACCTGAGTTGGTTTCCACGGACACACAGCCCATTCGGGGCAGGGCCTGAGCTGGGCCTGGTGTCCGGGACTCCTCACGGGGACCCCTGCTGACGGTGCGCACTCGCAGATGACCAGGAGCGGAAACAATTCAATGACGTTGAAAAAACCCACGCCAGCCGGCCGTCTTGTCATCTTCATGCCTCGGGAGGCATCTGTTGGGAGCAGCGAGAGAGGAGCGGGTCTAGGAAATGCGGCATTTCCCCGTTAGCTTTTTGAAAAGTTTTGCACAACATATTTTATGTGTGTTTATAGAAAAAAATAATCCCGGACTCACATTGATTGAAAAAATGTGTTGTTATGGGAAGGGCTGAGCTGAACTCTCCACAGAGCGTGGTGTTCGCGAAGACTTGGAAGGCGAAGACGCTACATAAATAGTTGTGCCGAGTTGTTATGGCAACTGAAATTCGAAAAGTAAATAGGTTTGCGGGAAACATTTCTCCTTGTCTCTGGAGGAATTTTCTGTTGGGGAATCATCTGTAAGAGGGGGAGTGAACTCAATGCCCAGCAGGCTTGACGTCGCTTGTTGTTGAGAACAGAAATGGGGTGCTCCCCGTGCCGGGGTCCCCATATCGATGGGGCAGGTTCCTTGAATCTGGGTTGATAGGAGAGGACCTGGGCTAGGTTTTGTATGCTGTGTGGCCTTGGGCCAGTGACCTGCCCTCTCTGGGCCTCCCCTTAACTGTCGATAGGGGGCCTTTGCTGGGAGAGATACACGGGGCCAGACAGGATGCGGGGAGAGACAGAAACATTGAGGAAGACAGAGAGACACAGGCAAAGAGACAGAACGGGAGAGAAAGATGAGACCTGGGAAAAGACGAGACGAGAGATGAGAAGGGATGAGAACTACCAGAGAAACACAGAGGCCATGTCGGGGAGGACAGATGGAGAGAGACACAGGCCACAGGACGAAGGACAGGAAGGAACAGAGGGACAGCAACAGAGAGACAGGGAGGCCCAGAGGAGGGAGACAGAGAGAGGCAGAGAGAGAAAACCAGGGGGTCCAGGATCCCAAAGCGGGGAGAGGCCAGTGACTCCGCCCCATCGCCCTCGCCAGTGCCTCCTGCACAAACACCGCCCTCCAGGTCATGAGGACACCGATATAGAGCCGAACTCTGGAGCTGCCCTGGTCTGAGCCCCGGCTTTGCCCCTTTCTGTGATTCCAGCTAGGTGACCCCTAAACCTTTGTTCCTCACCGGCAAGACGGGTGCCATCTGTAGATGCCTGCTGGGCTACTGCGCACGTTCAGTGACCACAGCCTCCTCTGGCTGCCTCACTTCAGGCGTGAGATGCTGGATCCCCTCCCAGTCAGTGCCAGCACACGGCCTTCTGGTTTAGCACCAAACCCTCTCTCACATCCCGGCCACGTGGGTGCACACGGGCCTCCCCCACCAGGCTCTCCGCTCCTTGGGGGTGGATGGAAGTTCTTGTTCTGGTCCATTTCCGGCCCAGAGCCTGGCCCACAGTGGGTGCCCGGGGAGGTCTGATAACGAGTCGCGGGGCCTGTGTCCGGCTGGAGCATGGGTCGGGGGCTGGCAGACCACAGCCCCCGGGCCAGACCCCCCCTGCCGCCCACTTTTGTAAATGAAGGCCTACAGGAGCACGGCCACGCGTGGGTTCACGTGTTGTGTCCGGCTGTGAGGACAGTGAGCAGCTGCGACAGAACCGTGTGGCCTGCAGCATTGAGAGAGCTACTCCCCGGGCCTTCCCAGCTACGGTTGCCAACCCCTGATAGCAAAGGAGGAGAGGAGGAGGCGGATCGGAGCCAGAGGAGGTGCGTGTCCACAGGGCAGGTTGCTGTGGCTGCCGAGCTGCCCTCAGTGGGCAATGAGCCTCCCCCAGGAGGGTCCCCTCCTAACACTGAGCAACGGGGACGGAGGCCAGGCCAGGCCAGGCAGAGCCACAGGAAGAGGAGGAAGCAAGCCCTAGCCGGTGTGGCTCAGTGGATAGGGCGTCGGCCTGCTGACCAAAGGGTCCCGGGTTCGATCCCGGTCAAGGGCACATACCTTGGTTGCAGGCTCCTCCCCAGCCCGGGCCCTGGTCAGGGCGCGTGCAGGAGGCAACGCATCGATGAGTTACTCTCACATGGATGTTTCTCTCTGTCTTTCCCTCTCTCTTCCACTCTCCCTAAAAAATCAATGGGAAAATATCCTCGGGTGAGGATTAGCAAAAACTTTAAAAATTTTTTAAAAAAAGAAAGAGGAGAAAGCAAGAAGAAAAACTCACTCCCCCAAAATTG